CCTTCAATTTTCATCATTACATGTTTATGTGACAATTTGACATATCGATTAGAAATGCTCTATAACTAAACATAGATTTTTGGTAAGTACCATGAGGTGTCCATGCCAGCTAGTGCGCACCTTGACTAATCCCCACTCGCGGAACTAAACTTGCCGCTGGCCACCAAGTATTGCAACTGCTAGGACTCGAATTAGGGAGCAAACCCATCTAAACCCCAAAGTCTTACCCAAATGGCGGACAACCCACTGGGCCACTCTTGGTGGTTCGAAACATGGATTTTAGATACATCATTTGGTGGTGAATAAGTGAGACGTCTGCCTCTAAATAATTATTCACATTAAATTCGATAAGTCCTTCTGGCCAGGAATTTTAGAATAATTCTTCTCTCATTGATTGTTTCCTTAAGGGACCGCGAAGGAATATTAATTTATTTAGAAACCAGTTAGAGGACCATCAACATTTAGATCAAGTTGTCACTTATCAATTCTTATGGATTAATTCATGATGTTTAAATGATTGTCAGCCATATACATTCCGTCTAAGAAATTAAACCCATCCATATATCTTGCTACATATAAATTTAAAGAAAGGAACAACTTCCGGCATTTTGTAGAAATATCATGGCTCAGGTATCTCAGGAAGAGGATAAGAAAGAGTAAGAAGTCAGATATGAGATCACAGGGAGAGGGAATGAAGAAGAAGATTTCATTTTTTCATTTGTCAGTTCATCCATAGATTATAAATACAGTAGAGAGAGTGAACTAAGCGAGCATGAGCATGAGACGATGTGTAAATTACTCTAATTAATTAGTTTGAAACTTTCAGAAACACAAATACAAAATTTACACCACTTATTTTAAGTTTAAGTTGAATCCGATAAAGAAATGAGTTATCAAAAATTGAGCTAAAGGGGACGTTTGGGATTAGAGAATTGTTGTTGCTCCCTCCCTAAGAGGGGGAGAGGTAGCCCTAAAGAGTGAAGAGGTTAGAATAAATTGCCCTAGTTGGTAATAGACCCAGCTGGATCTCCCCTTCCAAGAAAGATGAAATTGGTGACTGAATTTCTTGAGCTCTTAAACTTACTGATCCGATGCTTGCACTTGCACATCTACACAATAATCTATGACCAAAATCTTGGTTGATGGCCCCCTTTACGTAGCTAGCTCATGACATGAATCTTCAAAGTACTAATTAAAAATTAAGAAATTTATTCAAATGATTAACCTGGGTGCAAGTTGTAACCCTTGTTTTTCATACTCGAGATCATTATAATGCAAAGAATATATATATATATATATATATAAAATATTTGGCTCTTTACATGTAAAGGAGTCATTCTTCCTTAACACCAAACAAGTCATAATCTGACGAATACGCATAAACTTCTTTTTTTGTAATTTTAATGAGTTATTTTTGCATATATTTCAGATTCAGCAATGTTATATATATATAATTGAATTTGATAGATAGTGGAGCCCAAGATGATTATTGTATTGGAAGCAAGCAGTGAAAATCAATTGGCAAAAGAAAGAAGCCAATATATATAAATATATAGGTTTGTCCAGAGAGTGCAGTGTCCACGATCCACGCCCTCCACACAAGAATCATAGGATAGATAACATCACACACAGTGGTGTCGTCACGTAGCCCAGCAAGGTTGTAGAAGACAGCTCACACAGCCTGCCACGTGTCACTGACCCATTTCCGGGTGTACAGTGCACCCATTCGCATATTAATACCGACGCAGCCCAAACAGACCCTCCTTCCTTCCCTCCCTTCCCCACTATAATTATTTCTGCACTACTAGAACCATCACAAGCTAAGCCAAACCAGCTATATAGAAAGACAGAGTGAGTTTTTGTTTTTTAATCAGCAAGAGAGAAAGAGAAAGAGAGACATTAATAATCAAGAGTTAAGGGTGTAATTAAGGTGATCATTATCTTCAGATGGGGTTTGAAGAGACGGAGCTGAGGCTAGGGTTACCAGGAAATGGTGGAAGCCATGAAGGAGATCAAGCGGCGGCGGTGACTATGAGGAAGAGAGGGTTCTCTGAAACTGAAAGCAGTGAGGATGAGATCAGCTGTGAGACAAGCTGTGTGGATTTGAAGCTTAACCTTTCTAATTCTAAGGAGCAGGCAATAATTACTGGGAAAGATGTCACTGAAAAGTCCAAGACCAACAAGGACAACAACCTTGATCTCCCAGCTGCTGATCCTGCAAAGCCTCCAGCCAAGTAAGTCGATCGTTGATGATGATAATGATAATATCACTGTTTTTTGTTTTGTTTTTTTTTTGTTTTTGTTTTTTTTTTTAAGTAAGTATGTACGCATGTGCGAATGCTTGTTGTTTTTGCCATATAATAATTGATGGTACTTGTGAAGAGAAATTTTTGTATGTTACGGGTACACCACATACTGGTGTACCATTCAATACACATGGAACATAAAAAAATTACTCCCTTGTGTGTATAAGTGATGCCATTTATGTAGCCTTGTATGTCTCTATAGTTAATAATTAATATTTACCTGTTGATGTGATTTTAAAATTATTTATTTCTACTAGCTAAAATTATTTATTGTGTGACTAGAAATCTAATCAAGGGGCTAAAGATATCGATGTGTAAAATTGTTCTAGTTTGAAATACATGTTTTCTTTTTTCTTTTTTTTAATTTCCAGGATATAAAACTGAGCCTTAGATTTGCTTTCATATGTGTAATTTTAGACACTTAGAATTCATACAAAAAAGAATTGAAAAGGAAATTAAGACATTAGATCTTGCACAAAGTTATTGTAATAGAATTATAATTGGATCTTCATACCAAAAAAAAAAAAAAAACCCAGCTATATAGTAGTATATTGTTAATGATGTTGATTATGGTCAGATTAATTATAATGGAAAAGTAATATTTATTAATATATAGGGCACAAGTTGTGGGCTGGCCACCGGTGCGGTCGTTCCGAAAGAACATGTTCACGGCGTTGCAAAAGAGCCCGAGTGATAAAGAAAGTGAGCACAGCAAGGGCGGCAGCAATGCAGTGACGTTGGTGAAGGTGAGCATGGATGGCGCACCCTACCTTCGCAAAGTGGACTTGAAGATGTACAAGAGTTACCCTGAGCTCTCTGATGCCCTAGCCAAAATGTTCAGCTCCTTCACCATCGGTAATTAGTAATTAACTTTTAATTAAGCCAAATATATATATGGAACAAATTTCAATTATTCTGATACTTGGGAAGCAAAAAAAAAATTGCAATGATTGAAGGAAACTGTGGATCCCAAGGAATGAAGGATTTCATGAATGAAAGCAAGCTGATGGATGTGCTCAAGGGTTCTGATTACATTCCAACATATGAAGACAAGGATGGTGATTGGATGCTGGTTGGCGATGTCCCCTGGGAGTAAGTTCACTATTTCTCTACTCTAGCTAGCTCATGCAAATCAATAATAAAATTATTATTTGTCAAAAAAACTTCTCATTTGTTTTCCTTTCATGCAAGCAGGATGTTTGTTGAGTCATGCAAGAGATTGCGCATAATGAAGGGCAAAGAGGCTGTTGGGCTGGGTTAGTATCTAATCTTCGATGGCATAGACATAATTAACCACCATTAATCTTGATTATCCTATCAATTTTTCATGATTTAGTTAAAACTCTGGAATGATTTTTTCAGCACCAAGGGCCATGGAGAAATGCAAGAACAGAAGCTAAAAGCACTTAGCAATGAATCCCACAGCCTGCTCCTTCGATCTCGTCGCGGTGGCTGCAATAAACCAAAACCACCAAACACGGCGCAACGCGCAGATGGATTGAGCAGCATGTTTGGGTGATGAAATGGATATGTTTGTTTCTAAGATTGATTAATTAATGTTTATGGTTTGATATATGTGTAATTATTGAATATGAGATACATATATTTTGAGTTTAATTTTTTTTTTTTAAATCATGGCCAGACAGAACCATTAAAACTGGATCTTAAGTTTGAAGTACATCCAAGGACGGGGCTTGGGGTTTGCTTTGTTTAGTGTTGCAATAATGGCTTGCTTAAGCATAATAATGTAACGTACCAGTTAATTAATTTTGTCGCATTTAAGTAATGTGTGTTGTTTTTAATTTTGATCCTTCAATTATTTTTATGTATGGTCTTTTTCTGTGTATTAAAGAAATATTAATTGGGATGCACCAGGACGTCGTTTTTTAGGGGAACATGAGCATGTGGATGTTAATGGAGCATTTATATGCATGCCCATTCTTTTTCCTTGCTAGATTTATTGCTTTAGACTTTCGAAAGGGATTTGCTGTTTATAAGCTAATTAACATTTTAATTCTAGCAGACATGGTATTAACTAAATTGACGATTGACTAGAGCGGATGTGCCTCCTACTCTGTGATCGAATCTCCTTCACCATAATTTAGATTAAATTAAATTAGAATATCACTCGTATTATAAAAAATAAAAACTTAACTCTATACTTTATCATGTTATGTCAAAAGAAGTAAAATGGTGGATTGTATGAGAAGGGTTAAATGGTATAAGTTAAACTCCTCTTCTTTTTTTTGTCAAGATAAAACTTCATTAGAGAAAAGCCCAAAGGCGGGACAACAAAACAAAGGCAAAATACAACAGGGAAGCAAAACAGGTAGGAAGAGACCTCCAGAAACTAAAAGCAGGAGAAGGGCACCCGCGGGACAGGGGGGCCAGGGAGGCCATCACTTGTGAAAACCAAAACCAAAGAGGGAGGAGGCTGAAAAGCCCAACTCAAATGTCTCACCCCCTCAGAGGCCAAAGCTGCTGCCGCATGGGCAGCTCGCTCGATTCGCAATACGCGAAACCCAGCTCCAGGAGATACAGGAGGACAAATAAGACTTCCTCCAAATCTCCTTAATAATACCCTAAAGTCTCCAGGGAATGGCGACACCAGTCTTCTTAATAGCGTCAACTACATCTTTTGAATCCGATTCAATAACCAAGCAATCAACATTCCTTTCACATGGTAGAGATAAATTGCATACAAAACTCTCTTTATTAAATGGTTTATTTGATGTTCTTCGAACACTTTCATACTTGTTAGGACTTGAGTTTGCATAAATTGGATGAAAAACAGATAAGACAACCAAAGCTTCGTTTACTGGTACGACCAGCAGGGCGGATCGCCTTCCGGCTTCAATAGTCGATTGACCTAATTATCAAATCGGCATTCTTCTTTGATTTGTTTACTTTCTCAGCATTTGGCCGGTCGTTGTACTCAATCTACAATTAAAGGTCATATGCAACGTCTTATTGACTAACCCCATAATGAAAATTCATGGCTCTGAACATGATGAAGAACTTACCCGCCATTTAGCAACATCTGGGGGCTTTCCTGCAATTCAAAGAAAGCAATCAAAACATGTCATTTTCCCCCAGATTCATTTCCAAGAACTAGGTGTCTAAAAACTAAGGATTACATACCCGTTAAGATGTGTCTCATTCGAACTCGTTCCATAGCTTTATCAATGTCAATCTCAACAAACCTTGCAGGGAAAAGCAACAAACAATAGCCTTAAGTGACCAACACTTAAGTTTCAGTCTTCAAAAACATAAATGATCGGATAAGGTATGCATATCAAGGACTCAAACAGAGGCCAGTGAAATATCATAATGATCAAAAATCACAATCTGAGAGGTAAGGCCAAACCATACCATCTGATCTCTTTAACATACAATTTTGCACAAAAAAAAATAGCCTTTGAGAACCTGCGGCTTACCACTTCTCATCGAACATGGCTGATATTTCCTTCCAAATCCCATCATCTAACAATAAATAATTTCCTTCTACTATGACCACTTTATGTCTGCAAAGACACACAAAGGATTCATCAAACATGTAAGAATCAAAACAACATAATTGTAAGATCATCTATAAGGCTTAAAGTTCTTGGCATCCCAAATTGTTCACGTCAGTTCACTGGTTTTTACTACTTTCAATCCATTATTTCCAACAAATATTGTTATAAATTGTTTAGGCTCCCAGGTTTCTTCAGCTTTTACATCAGCCATGTCTATAATTGTTCGCAACCCACCTAATTCTTTAGCTGGTATTAAGAAGGCAACTTATGTGAAAGGAACAGATTACTCACTGAAGGCTCACAAAGATATCATCTTCTACTGGATCACCAACACCATGGTCAAATGACGGTGCATAAACTGATCCCTGAAACAATCTTCCTTTTAGAATGCATCACATATCCTAAACTTGAGGCGATCACATAAGTTAAGAGTATCAACTAATTACCTGACTTCTCAGAGTCTTGAGAGACTTGAGTAGTAGCTCAGGGTTAAAGGTCCATGGAGCTGAATCACCAATTTGTAAGATCAAAGCTTTAATGCTTTCAAGGTGTTAATCAATCAATCACAGAATATAGAAACCTCACCTCCCCTCCTTGCATGAGCTTCCTCAGGATTCTAAAATGTTAGCACATTACATAAAATTAGGACTGAAAATATTTTTATCACCTATAATGTTTTGTAATATATTCATGTGCTGGCATACAAGGACAAATCGACTTTTAAATATCTAATTATGCAAAATGGAAGCCAAATAAATGTTGTTTCAACCAAAAATTTGGTCCATGGCTTGGAAAGTGACACAGCATAGTGCATCACTGCAGAGCTTATGAATCAACCAACATTATATGGTTGAGCAAATCAGTAGTAAGTTGTTACTCAATACTGGATAACTGCTACAACAATAGTTGTATCATTTACAGCTAGATGCATTTTAAGAAGACAGGTTAATCAAATTTTATAACTTTGGCTTACTTTATGATCCACATATATGTAATCAAATCATCATTCGTGTATCTGAAAAGATTCTTTTCTGATAATCACTGCAAGTTAGTTCTTGATGTTAGTAAAACTAGTTTCTAACAAATCATCATGTTCCCCCAATTATATCTTAAGCTTACTAAATGTTCAATAATTTTATGCTTAAACAGTTTTTAGAATCTATGCTAGGACTACCATCCACAACTAGAGCATCAAACGATGAAAAACAAAATTAAAATATCAGAAGGCTAACCTCCATTGCATCCAGCTGGGAACAATAAAGATGGAACCCATCCATGGGAATAACTTTAGCCACGTCTGGAGGACTAACTTGAGAATCCAAAGCACAAGCTTTCTGGGGCCATAATCTGTTTACACGTCGCACTACTTCAGACGCAATAGTGCTCTTTCCAGATCCAGGAGACCCAGCCAAACCAACAATATACCTGCATAGCAGCATAGTAGTTGAGGCAGATAGATAACTTTGAAGAGTAACAAGGAAAAACTACTTGATAATCAAATACAATTCAAAAAGGTAAAAGCCATACCAAAATAAGTCAGACAATAAAAAAATTCAAACAGTTCACGGTCCCTGTTCTCTAAAGATTATAGCATACAATAAGAAAGGAGCAAATAAAATTTGAGCAAAAATTACTGGAAAGTGTAAATTCAGATGCATTCACATTTATATTTGCCAATCAGAAGCTAGAACTTACTTCAAATTTGGATTTGACATTGCTGCTGCTGTAGGAACAAGGCGTTCGGCCAAAGCATCGTATACTTCATCTATACACCTTAAAGGAAACAGAAACAACATATATCAAAAGCAGTAGAATGCTTAAACAAATATGTATATACACATCACAAAATAAACAGAAAAGTTTTATTTAGTTTTAGTTTAACCATCGCAATGGCCATTTTCTGTACAAAAATACCACCCATGAGACAGAAAGCAAATGCATATGCGAGTTATAGCTTGCAACTCCGAAGATGGCATACCTGCCCTCGACGACTACAGTAGCTTCCCTCTTTAGACAACATACAACCTGTAGAGGAAACACAGAGTATCAACCAAACGAAACCCATAGAGAGAAAATTAGACTTAAAAATCACCCAAACAGAAAGAGCATTTGCAAACCTTCACAGATTTATCCTTAGCATAGTGGGGTCCAGTTTGAGCAAATAAAGGTTGTGGTCTTACTCTGGTTGGAGAGAGGGACAATAAATGACGATCCCAAGTAGGAAGTTTCACTCTTTTAAGCAGAAACGGCTCTGCAGATAAGCAAATCACATACTCCACTCAATTGGGTTTCTGAAGTCCTGTGTTTTTTCTACTGCAATTTGATTTTACAACACTTTATGAAATTATGTTGCAGTTTCTTCTGTGTCATATTAATTAACAATAGCTGGTGCAGAATGATAAAATTTTGAGTTTAATTACAACAATTTCCTGATTTTATCAAAAAAATCATCGGGGAAAAAAAAAAGAGTATCAGTCTGGAATTAAACAGGTGGATATTTCTATACAATTAGAATCATGCCATCACAAAAGATAAATCATAAAATTGTATGAAAACCATGGGAAGATAAATCAGAAGATAGGAAAGAGAGACCTGGTGATGAGTTATATGTGTAACCTCTCGAGGTTGCTGAAGACAGAGACACCTCCATGGCCGAATCACAAAACACCCAGAGAGAGAAACTTACTAAAACGGTAAAAGAAGGAGAGAGTTTTTGAGAAAATACGAAGTAGAGAGGAGAATCTTGTCGTCGCCCAAACAATATAAGGACAAAATAAGGATGTTCAGTGACATTAATATACTTCACTTCTCCATCTCGGAGTTGGAGAAGGTTTACTGAAAACCCACGTACACGGTACACCGTACTCTTTTTTATTAGTCTTTAGTTACGAACCACCGTGTTTTTTTTTTTTTTCTTCTTTTTTCTTGTTTTCCCGGGAATTAACATTTTGATGCTTTTGTGCCCCGCCCCAACAGTTTCAAGAAATAACATTGTCTACCACATAAACGTATGCTTCTGCAATTTATGAGTTTTTTAGGGATACTTTGAGAAAAATAAAAAAATATAAAGTATAAATAAAACTAATTGAATATATTTTCTTAGACAGATAGAAGTAAAGATAGCCTTAACCCAACAATTGGTTCAGCCGCACTGCTGCTGGAACATGAACTAGAAAACAAAATGGTTCATGGTTGAAACATAAACAATTTATTTGAAATGAGATTTGTAAATCCTAGTTGGGCTAATTAATTTAATGCGTCCCTCCAATTTGGAGTCTTGGACTATCATCAGTTTGAACCTAAATCATCATCCAGTCGCCTTCAAGGAAAGGCAATTCTACAAGGCACCAGCCCCCCCTACAATGATTAGGTTCAAATATAAAAGTTACTGTTTACAAAAATACAGCAGCCTTGGGAAACCAGTATGGCAACAAACGAGCAACGGGAATGTCCCAGGACATGTGATCAGATTCAGAACACAAGCACATTGCATTTCGGCCTCTCAACCCTTCTTCGCTTCTTATCGTCGTCGGATGACTGCAAAAAGACACATGAACCACAATGTTACAGATATGTATAGCATGAGATCCTTTTGCAGCCAGTTTAAAGAGAAGCTGTAGATTGTTACCTGTGCACTAAGAAAATGTGGCACCCGAACCCTCTTTGAGCCATCGGCTAGACGCTTACATGGTAATAAGCTATCCACACCAGCAAAGTTATTATTGACCTACAAACAAAGACAACAAAAATACAAGATTAGCAACTTTCCAAATCACTTTCTTTGAACGTATCAAATTTTAGAGAAATATCTACATTTCCTAGGTTAGTTTTCTCAGATGCCAAACAGAAGTAGGGAATTTAAAACTACCTGGCTCTGGATGGCCCCAATAAACAATTCTTGACAACCTGATGCATGCACATTTTCTACATTGGGGCACTGAAGCACCAATCTCTCTGGATAAATACAAACAACAATCACTTAACTATGCAAATAAATGACAGAAAACTTGATAGAAAAACATGTCATAGGCGACAAGTCGGGAGATCAAATTCCGTACCTGGGTACAAATTTTTGCAAGAATTCAAATTCAGATCTTTAAGTTCAGGGCAGTTTAAATATAGAGCCTGCATTCAGATTGAATAAATAAGATCCATCAGAGAAGCGATACAAAAACACAACTAACTTTTTTTAGTTTAAGAGCCTCACATCTAAGCCAGAACAGCCCCACAAGCTGAGTTTTTTCAGCCGGCCATGTTTAATGATCAGCTTCTGGTAACTAAGGTGTACTTTAGCATTGGATGTTTGGGCCAATTCAAAGCCAGTGGTTTCCTCGGATGTTGAATCCAGAGAGTTGGGATCACATATGGTCATGCCACAGTCCAGGAGTTCAAGAAGAGGCAGTTGAGCTGTGGCGAATTGAATAAAACCTGAAATTTACAGACAGCAGTTAGTGAACAAAAGTTTATGTGAAACCAAAAAATCTTTGAGTCTCTGGACTAGGTGATTACTTGCACTGATGTTAGGACAAAGAGCAACCAGTAGTCTTGAAAGAGTATCAGGGAACACATTGCAAATCATTCCAATGCCACTATCAGTGATGCTAGATCTGTAATCAAAATGCAGAGTCAAACATTACATCTTGAGAATTAAATGAATGGCCACTCTTCAAGGCCTGGGATCATAAGGGGCGTCACTATATTATTTGAGTCCAGTTCACAAAAGTCTATAGATGGCGCTTTCTTTTACAGAGCATTAAACTTTATTCACAAAAGTCTTAACAGAAATTTATTTAAAAGGAAACACTGTACTTAAATATTGCACATATCAGGCAATCATAGCTTAAGTAAAAACAATCAAATGCAATTAAACCATAGGACTGAAAACATACCCACTCAGGTCAAGCAATTCTAAGTTTGGGTAACTTGAAGCAATGGCAGCAACAGAAGCATCAGTGATATCAGATCCAAGAACAAGAGAAAGCATTCTCAACCCCCTGGATAATGAAATGAACAGAGAAATCTTCATGAGACTAATTGTGCAGTGATTAAAAAAAATGTAACCAAGAAATGCAGTAGTCCATCGGCCTCAAAACAAATTCAGCAGCAAACCTTAATTGTGCAGCTGTAAGGGCAAGAACAACAGCATTGGAAAGCTGGATTGATGCAATGTGTATGTTTTGTAACCTTGGGCAGTTCCTTCCCAGAGCATCAACCATGGTGACAAGATCCGTATTATCATTTTCATGGCTAGAAAAGTCTACAGAAATCTCTTTTAGATTGGGGCAATTAAAAACCTGTGAAAAAGGAATGTGCATAAGTAAGAGAGAATTCACTTTAACAACAAATGAAAGGCAGAAAGAAAACAACAATGCATGAGAGACAAAAAGGAAAGAGAAAAAGAATCACCATCTTAGAAAGGGAGTGAAGACCAGAAAGCCAAATTGTAGAAAGACTTGATGAAGAAAGAGCAAATCCGCCTAAATTAGAACAACCTTCCATCTTAAGGCTTTTCAGTAATCTTCTATCAGCAACAAAACGACCCAGCTCATCACTGTATTTTTAAAGTCACAGAATGGATTGAACTAATCAGCCATCACAAGCATTGGTTTGGCACCTTGCACCATTTACCTATCACTATTATCTAATCCACACTACACAACAATGAGTAGGAAACAGAAAATAGCCAACACCAATCTAAATGCCCAACAGAAACAGCAGTGAAAAGTTTAATACAGCAAACAAACATGAATGCACTCGAGCTATAGAAGAAGATAATCGTACCCGGTAATTCGATTGATAGCCGTTTCAGAAGTAGTGATCTCCAGGAATTCAAGATTTGGGCATGAAAATGTGATCCAGGCCAGCAATGTTGCATCCACATCACTGCAACAGCAAATTATTCAAAGATTATATCCCAAATGCAATGCACCATTTTCAACATTATTTGATTCTAGCATTCAGTGTAACTTGCCGGTTTTGAAATCAATGCTGCGTGGATCAAATCATAATAGATCAAATGCTTACGGTATAATGCTCTATTCATGGCACTTATCAAACCCCATTTCGTTTTAGCTGTTTGTTCTTTCTTCAATTTCATTTGAATATTATTAAACTCAGAGTTCAGATCGTGTTCCATTTCTTCATTTTAGATTTTATTCTGTAAACTCCATTGCTGTAACCAGATCTGTTCGATAAACCCCTAGATCTGAAACAGAGAGAGCGAGAGCGAGAGAGAGAGAGAGAGAGAGAGAGAGAGAGAGAGAGAGAGAGGAGTAGCCTCTCGACAAAAGGCAATAATACCTTTCCATTCTAAGAGAGAGGTTAACGAGGCCCGGGCACTTTTGCAACACCGATCCAACAAGCCCGACCTGAGCCCTCGCTGGAACCCTAATCCTAAGCATTTCCGCAGCCTTCCACAGCCTCCTTGTCGTCTCCCTCCACCCCTTGCACACCATTGCCGCCGACAACAGCTCCGGCGGCGGCAGCCTCTTCAAAATATCCCAAAGACAGCTTGCAGGCAGACCGCATAAACCCGTACCCGACTCCGAATCCACCACAAGGTCATCGATCTCATCGGAGTCGGGATCCGGTGAGTCAAAATCGCCGCCACCTCCTCCGCCCCATCCAGAGCTATCAACGTCATCGTCGAACGACAGCGCTCGGCGGAGGTGGGAGTAGGGCTTACGTGGAGGCAGAGGGGGTACGGAGAGATCGGACGAAGACGGAACATCAGCGACGAAGGATTCATCGGCGGCGGGTAGGTGGCAGGAGTGGCCCTTCTTGGGCTGGCCACACCGGCCGCAGTTGTAACTGCCTCGCCTCTTGCCGCGCTTGGCTTCGGAGCTGGCGGTGGGTGCCACGGCGGTGGACCCGAAAGGGGTGGTGGGGCCTGAGGCGGAGAAATGCGACTGCTGGTGGTGGCGCTGTTGCTGCATTGTTTGGAGTTTTGGAGATCAGATTGGCGTGATAGGAAGAGAGAAAAAGGGGTATGAGTGAGAGACAGTGAGGGAAGAAATATAGGGAGAGAGAGGACGAGGCGCGTGTGGGCCCGGAAAGGCGCGGGAGATAAAAGCGGGGTTTCGCGCGCTGATTTTGAAACGTAAACTAATGGGGAGGAGCGGAGGGCTGCTCTGACGTGAACGTATTTAAATGACGAAATTGCCCCTGGTGTTGGGTGAAGGGCGCGATTAATCTTGCTGTGAATTTTGGAATTTTCTTGATAATTAATTAATTTTGATTGAGAATCAGATTCGCCTGATCGCCGGAAAGGAAGGATTTCCCGCGTTCGATTTGGGAATTTAATTTTTGTTACCGGGAGATTGTTTACTTATTACGGCAGCATGCAAGACTTGGGACAATCTCATTTGACTACGACTCAAAATGATAATGTCACGTTTTGACTTTTTTTTTTCTTTTTTCTTTTACCAAACACGTTTTGATGAATTTGGAACAAATGAATAAGAAATCGGAGACTGAAAATGGTTTTGGAAAGAAAAATATGTTTGAAATGGAAGATGCCGTTTGGTGGACCGTTTGATTCATGTTCAAGGAATTTAAGTACATAGATTTATATGCAATGGATGGAGGCATGATGTATTGTCATTTTCACGGATTGAGTCAAACATTTTTTGTTTTTACATGTGTTTTTCTAATTCAAGTTTTCTATAATTTCATATGTTAAACTGCCTAAAATGTGTTTTTCTAATTCACGATTTATATATTTGAATACACTGAAATTACACAAAAATCAAAATTATATGAAAATTCATATTTCGTGAAACACGTGAGATAATTGATAGACGGTGGAAACTAACTCTGAACAATCCTTTTTATTTTTGGGTGAAGTAGTTACATTTTCGAATTAACTTTCAAACACTCTTGTGCATACAAGTTGCTTAAGTCATGAGATTCAATTATGTTTAATTTATATATATATATATATAAAGCAAAAGGCAGAGAATAGTAAAACATTCAAAATACTATAAAAATGTCATTGGTTAATGCAAACATTAAGAACAGAAATTGTTAATTAAAAGAGGATAATATGGTAAATTCATAATTTTTCATATTAAAAAATAAATTAAAATTAAAAGAAAAAATCAAATAATTGATCATATTTTTATGGACACAACTACCTATTATATGTTTTAATTCTAAAATTTTATTTTATTTTATTTTATAAAAAACCTCTCACAAACGCGAAAGCGCATGCGGAGAGACTAGCATATAAAACTAGGACCCTTTTTTTTATATACATTTTCATTTAATTTTGACGATAAGTCAGTTTCAATATATAAGATTCAAATTCATCATCACCCATTCTAATCCAGTATCAATCATATCAGATCAGATCGACATTTTGGCTACATATTGACGTATTTAAATTCAAACCAATGAACACCCCGAAAAGAATTCATAAAAAATTGAGTCAAAACCAACATGGGCCTATTGGGCCATAGTTCGTCTTGTCACCAGAAATATAAAAAAGTCACCACCAACATATTATATTCTCAATTGAACAAAACTAGAAAGCGTTTGGGCATCCTATACGTGCTTTAAAATGAGTTAGGTAGGTCATATGGAATAATCTGGTAAGCAATTAATATAGTATAAGCCTAAGCATAGTCCAACCAACATTAAACAGTGTACTCGTTACGTACGGACCATATTTTGTACCACTTTGTTTATGTTATTACCAAATATTTTAGAAACGAGTTATCTTTTTCGCATATCATGAGTCATATTCACATAAGTACATCCGCGAGTCTCGAATTGATGATCATATTTTTACTAACTCACTCTTGATTCAGTGAAAATTATCTTAATTACTAATAATAGAATATGTCGTATAATGATAAAAGGAAAAACAAAGTGCACATGATATCGATATAGCCAATTTTTTAAATTAAAACCAAAGTAATTCTTTTAATTCCCATTATACAATCAAACGTGCACCTTCATCTCTATTTGTATTATTTTTTTCTCACATATCATAAACTGAAACGATATTTCATAGATAAACTTTCTATCATCAAAACGAGGTTGTGGTGGGATGCATAATTGAGCTATGAAAGTAAATTTGATAATCATTGAGATTTTCAGTCTCGGTTGGTGCTTGCAATGTGATTGAAGATATTTTGGTTCACTGTTTTTCTTTGGTGCTTAGTAATGCCTATGCTTTGACTAGCCCCCTATCTTCCAAAAAATCCTCCTAAAGTCGTTTTCACTTTGAGGGGGAGGAAGTCACTATTCTTCCTCCCTTTATTCTTATCTCATTTTCATAGACAAAAAGTTTTCTTTATTTGTCTTTGCTTTGTTATAATTTTCCTCTAACCATCAAAGGCGGTTGCGTCTTGGCATCGAATCTCCACTTGCATTTTGGCGTCGAATCTCCACTACCATCCTTTTTGCGGTTTCTTTATATTTGCAATAAGTCACAAAGGCTCTTTGAGTTATTTGTGTAGTTTTCGCATCTCCTTTTGTGAGAGCTTTTCATATCTCATTTGTGAGAACTTTTATATCTCATTTGTGAGAGTTTTATTTGTATTGTTATAGCTTGAATTTTTTTAAAGCTTTATCTTCTTCTTTTTAATTATGAGTTTTTCAATCTTAGTTTTGATGCCTATGTCAGAGTTTTTTCGATCCTGCGTGATTGTTAGTGAAGTTGTACTAGATTGTCTTAATTTTGATGTTAAACCGCTCCATTATTGCAATAGCCATTTGTGGCTAGTTTGTATTGGCCTTTAAGGTTAATGATTTTTTTAGCTGAATTATGAATGCAATATAAGAATTTCTCAATAAAAAATATAAAAAAGTAATGCCTACGCTTTGAAAGATAGTTTTTGTATGTGTTTTGAGTGGTATTGTTGGTGATGAGAGTGTAGCGTATCATATCCAAGCAATTATAATTGAAGCGATCGTGCATGTGCTAGTGTCACGTTTGAAGTGATATAGCAGACCCAAATTTATCACTCAAAGTAAATAATAATGTACTAGTTAGACGATGCGGAAGGACTGCGTACACTCCACTAAAGAAAACCCAGACTTCCACCCACCACATTCCAGCCTCAATGAACACAAGTGGTCCACGTTTATGATTTGCAAACAACTTATCAAAAGATCTTTCGTAAACAAAAAGGAGACAAGTCGTGGTTTGAAAACGACGTTTAATTATTTTGGCCAGCTGTTGTTACTTATTTTCCTATAATTACTATTGCCATTAGCTAGATATATAGACGCAATTTCCATTAATATATCACATAAATATCCTCTCTAAGAACCTCACATGCCATGCGTCACTATTTCACACGTCAACAAGCACTATGATCACATAAAGGAAAGTCGGATTTCGATTCCATTGTTAAATTTATTGGAAACATACGTCAACAACCCTAATTACAAAATCAAAATAAATAATATTGCTCCAAAATCATGAATATTAATACAGTTCCAGATACACATGGTTACGAAAATCGTATACAATAATTGATTAGGGACATGAAGTGATTTAGTTTGGTATACGCAAGATTATCCAACTTAATCACATCATACAAAATCTTTGTAAATCTAATAAAATGACAAGAACCCATGTGGTGGACAGGCATCCACCTGCCACCTTGAATTTATTTTCAATAATACTAGATGTATCCAGAATACTTCAAATTATCAGTTACTCAGTTTACGAAATGAACTCAAATATGCTCTTCAGTTTGCAAATTCGATTGAATTTCTCTCTCTATAATTTAAATTAAATTAATATAGGATATCACTTTTATATATATAAAGTAACGAAAGTGAAAATGGCATGAGAATATCAAATAAGGCCCATAAATTAATAAGAAAAAATATATTGGACACACAATTTCCTTATTTCTTGTTGTGCCATATAATATTGGCATGTTATGTCAAATGTACTTTAGGCAAGTCGCGGCAAGCTATACCCTACTGTTAATCCCGCGAAAGCTTTCTCGAAGACTGACAGATGGTCAACGTGGGCTTCCATGACCAATGAGGACCTCGTGTACCACATGGAAGTAAAGTATTCAGAAAAATACGTACTTGTTGACTATATACAAAATATAAAAGGAACTAGCTCTGTGTCAGCAAGCAATTTCTCCAACTTAAATATTACCACTTTATTTACATGGCTCTCTCTCTCTTCTTCATTCAACGTTAAATTGCTCACCACCTGTTTGTTATTCGTCCACAATGGCCATTTCCATATACAGCACTCTCCTCCCCTTCCCAAAACTCACCGTTTCGAGCAGAAAATCCCATACCTTCGCAGGCTCAAACCCATCAAACCTCACCATCCCAACAACCTCCACCGTCTGCGCCAAGGCGCTCCACTCAAAAACCAGCGACTCCTTGTCCTCCATAATCACCGAGCTCGAAAAAGAAAGTCTCAACAAGGACGATCAGAATCAACGACAAGAAGATATTAACACTACCCACGACGAGCGCCGTCTATCCAACGTATGGCGGGAGCTCCACGGCCAAGACGACTGGGTCGGGTTACTCGACCCGATGGACCCGCTTCTGCGATCCGAGCTCATCCGCTACGGCGAAATGGCCCAGGCCTGCTACGACGCCTTCGACTTCGACCCCTTCTCCAAGTACTGCGGCAGCTGCCGCTTCGTCCCCCGCAGCTTCTTCCCGTCTCTGGGCATGGCCCACCTCGGCTACCGCGTGTCACGCTACCTCTTCGCCACGTCAAACATCAACCTCCCCAACTTCTTCAAGAAGTCGCGCTGGCCAAAAGTCTGGAGCAAAAACGCCAACTGGATCGGATACGTCGCCGTTTCGGACGACGAAACGACAGCCCGTTTAGGCCGGCGCGACATCAGCATCGCGTGGCGGGGCACCGTGACCCGGCTCGAGTGGATCGTGGACTTAATGGACTTTTTAAAGCCCGTTTCCGGGAATAAGATCCCCTGCCCTGATCCGACCGTCAAAGTCGAATCCGGGTTTCTGGATCTTTACACCGATAAAGACGTGACGTGCCGATATTCTACGTTTTCGGCGAGGGAACAGATTTTAACGGAGATCAAGCGATTGGTGGAGATGTATACCGGCGAGGAATTGAGCATTACGATCACCGGGCACAGCCTCGGGAGCGCGCTGGCGATTTTGAGCGCGTACGATATAACGGAAACGGGTTTGAACGTGACGGCGGACGGTCAGGTCGTGCCCGTATCCGTTTTATCGTTCTCGGGTCCTCGGGTCGGGAACGTGCGGTTTAAGGAGCGGCTTGAGTCGCTGGGGGTGAAGGTGTTGAGGGTTGTGAACGTTCATGACGTGGTGCCTAAATCGCCTGGGCTGTTCTTTAACGAACATGTGGCGCCACGGCTGATGAAGTTGGCGGAGGGCTTGCCGTGGAGCTACTCGCATGTCGGGGTCCAGCTTGAGTTGGATCATAAAAACTCACCGTTTTTGAAGCAGACGAGTGATCCTGTTTGTGCGCATAATTTGGAGGCTCACTTGCATTTGCTTGACGGGTTAGTATTATTTGATTAACGACGTGATTAGTAAATCTTATTGATTTTGTTGGGTCTTAAGATCAATTTTAATTGTGTACATGAATTGCGTCAGTTGTTTAAGATGGTATGTCCGCCTCTTTGCAATCGAGTTCGATCTTTCTCCTCATTCATTAAAGTAGTTTACAATATCACTTCATCAAAGAAAAAAAAAACTAATTTTATTTAGTTGTATTGCAATAAAAACAAGAAGAATGATATTGTTGGTGAGTTTTTACTTAATTAAGATTTTGATTTAAGATAAAAACAAAAATAAATAGGAGCATGTGACACCTCTATGCATTATTCAGTTGGTAGAGATATCTTTTGCACATCACGATGACTTGGCTGCGCTTGGGAGCCAATTTAAAAATAATTGATAAGATCATGGTCCCCATGCATCTCAATTGAATTATTGTTTGTAAGCATAGTTGTAAGTAAAATAATAAATATTTCAGTGGTACTCATGAAAGAGACATACAATAATTATGCATGGTTTGGCTATAAGCTTATCTCACAAGCAATTTGATGCTTTTCTAGACAGTACTTTATTATATTCTATATCCGAGTTGTTGGATTAGGTGGACTTGATAAATGTATGTAGTACTGTAATTTTTAATGCCATTGACAAAACAGAACAAGCTCCCTTATATCGTACTAATTTCGTGTCATTATGGATTTCGATATATTTGTTAAAATGGATATTGATATGTTCTCGATATTTTGTTGATCTGGACACGAATACGGACACGTCGATTTGGAGAAATTTGTTTTTTCCACCATGTGAATATCATAGCTCTTCTATTTTGAGTGTGTGTAGTGTAGACATAGAAATTGTAGTGAATAATCCTGTTTACACCGTGTCTTCCTGTCTTCGAATAAATTAGTAGAGACATTAAAAAACAAAACAATTATCATATTGTTATCAAAATTCAGACGTAACTGAATTAGAATTACATATTTTATTTATTATATGCATATTTGATGCATGCGAAAATATATAGTAACGAGAATAATTAAACTAATTAACTGTCTGTTTGACGAAATGCAGATACCATGGGAAAGGGCATAGATTTGTGCTAGCGAGTGGAAGAGACCCAGCATTGGTGAACAAAGCCTCTGATTTCTTGAAAGATCATTACTTGGTTCCACCTTACTGGAGGCAAGACGAGAACAAGGGCATGGTGAGGAGCAAGGATGGCCGTTGGATCCAGCCCGAACGCCCGAAACTCGATGATCACCCTGAAGACATACACCACCATCTCAAACAATTAGGCCTTGCCTCCGATCATTAGTTACTAACCACAAGAAGATAAAAATAAAAATAAAAGCTTCAACTGTATAATATAACGTGGGGTTCTTACTTGTTAGTTATAGAAAACATTAGTTTCTGGGATTTTTATGGTTAAAATATATAATGACTGTAAGGAGATGATCAGTGACTAGTGTTGCATACTGTATTTTCTGCATATATATATATATATATATATATATATATGAAGATTGTTAGGCTTTAGTAATTAGTGGGTCACTTCTTGTTAGTTAATTTAGTACCTTAATGTTGATCGTTGGGAAAATGTAATAAAACCTATGGTGCTGTCACGATGCATGAAAGAATTAACTACTAGTCTAGTTGTATTTCTCTTGGAAATATTTAGGTGAGTTTTAAGTTTGAATCCCCTATTTCGGTCAATAAAGAAGACGAGTTTGAAGTTTGAATCCCACATTCCTATTGATAAAAAAGAAAAGACCAACGAGTTTATCAGCTCGAGTCCGAGTTTCATCTATCTCATCGTACATTAGAATTGTTTAAAATATCGACTTATATTAAAAACAGAAAATTATTGGGTTGTTAATTAGGTTTCCAGCCCAATAAATTGAAAAGGGAAAGCTACACCAGCAAAAGCCCAAATCCGTTCAAGCTCAAAATTAACAAGCCCGCCCTTCACCACGTGAAACGACACCGCTTTTGTCGACAAGAAAATTAGTAGTGATGAATGATGATGATGAAAAGTTTGACTATTTGACCAAAAGACATGTGTTTGGAGCTTCTGTATAAACGACCTCGTTTTATGATATAACCGCATCAAACACAAACAACCTTCGTGTCTCTTTGAAAGCTAGCTCTGGTCCGCTGTTTGTTTTCTGCCGTTCCGCGCCGCCGAAACTCATCGTCCTTCAAAAGACCTCATCTTTGCAGTAAGTTGTTTTTCGTTTTGGGTTTCTATCTTTGGTTCTGTTTTATGGCTGAAATCGAAATTATATTTGTTGTTTGATTCTCGAACTCTGTTTTTGTGTGTTTTGTTCTGGACTGTTATCTTGTTTTGAGCTCATATGCTTGGAACTTCAGGCATTGATTTTTTATGTTAATAACAGAGCTTCAACAGTTATGATTATCAGAATTTTGTAGTTTGGGAGTTGTTATGGTCAGTGTTCGAAAAATCGGCCTAGGCGGCACCTAGACGCTAGGCGGGAAGACACCGCTACGATTTACCCCTAATCGTTAGGAGTAGGCGCCTAGGCGGGTCTAGGCAGGTCTAGGCGGGTCGGGACTTTTTCTTAAAGAATTTTTTTTTCCCTGACTTTAAAGAAAACCTACCTCACGCTGTCGCCTCCTTAAAGCCCAAAATTTGTTGGTCACTCAAAGTTAGAATTATTGCCCGAGTATATGTTTTAGTTTTCTACGTAATTTCGAAAACCATTTTGGCTGTGACTGTTGTATGGGACCTCAGTTTCACTTGTTTTGATTTTGCAGAAGCAGATAGGCATTGTTCTTGTAAAAGATGAGTTTAATATCACAGAATGTTCCTTCGGCTTTTAAAGCCAACAAGACTAAAAGGGATGATGTTGATGAGCCTTCATTTCTGCAAGGGAATGATGACAACGGAAATGGAAAACAATCTAACTTAGATATTATGAAAACAAAGAAGCGAAAGAAAGCACACAAGGAAGAGGATGAGAAAGTGGCTATTGAGCAAGAGAAGGAAATGAAGAAGCTGGAAAACTTTTTGTTTGGAGCCATTTATTCCCCACTAGAGTTTGGAAAGGAGGATGAGGAAGAAGTTGGAGATGCAGTGGATAAAGGTTCTTCTTTATTCTTTGTGGACCGTTCAGCCAATAGTGTGCTCTCGGTGCATGAAGAGGACCTGTCTGGGTGGATGAGGAAGAGGAAAAGACCAATATAAATATTGCTAAAGTTAACAGATTAAGGAAGCTGAGGAAGGAGGAGGATGAGAGTTTGATTTCTGGTTCAGATTATGTCTCAAGATTGAGGGCTCAGCATGCTAAGCTGAACCCTGGGACAGAATGGGCTCAGCTTGATCCACAGTTGAGGAACAGTAGATATTCTGATGATGAATCATCAGATGATGAAAATGGGGTAGCAGTGGCCCGTGGCTACAAGGGTGTAGATGCTGTTGATGATCTCCTTCGAACAAATGAGGATCTTGTTGTGAAGAGCAGTGCAAAATTGTTGCCTGGACTTCTTGAATATTCGGTACTTGTACATGCGAATGCAGAGGAACCTTCTAAAGGACCAATAAATTCAGTGCAGTTTCATAGAAATGGGCAGTTGCTTCTTACTGCTGGATTGGATCGAAGGCTTAGGTTTTTTCAGATTGATGGCAAGCGCAATACTAAAATAGAAAGCATCTTTCTTGATGACTGCCCCGTTCGGAAGGCGTCCTTTTTGCCTGATGGCTCTCAGGTTATTATAGCTGGAAGGAGGAACTTCTTTTACAGCTTTGACTTGGTGAAGGCAAAAGTTGATAAAATAGGTCCCTTGGTTGGTCGAGAGGAGAAAAGCTTGGAAGTTTTTGAGGTTTCCCCTGACTCTAGTACAATTGCCTTTGTGGGAAATGAAGGTTATATCTTGTTGGTTTCGTCTAAAACAAAAGAATTGATTGGGACATTAAAGATGAATGGAACTGTTCGTTCTTTAGCTTTTGCCGATGATGGGAAGCAATTGTTGAGCTCTGGTGGAGATGGACATGTTTACCACTGGGATCTCAGAACAGGGGCTTGCCTCCATAAGGCTGTTGATGAAGGTTGTATAAATGGTACATCTCTTTGTACATCTCCAAATGGAGCATTGTTTGCTGCTGGTTCAGGCAGTGGGATTGTCAATATTTACAACAGTGAGGAGTTTTTGGGTGGCAAGAGAAAACCCATCAAGACCATTGAGAATCTTACGACCAAAGTAGATTTTCTGAAGTTCAACAGCGATGCTCAAATATTGGCTATTTGTTCAAGCATGAAGAAGAACAGCTTAAAGTTGATACATGTTCCATCATTTACTGTTTTCTCGAACTGGCCTCCGCAGAAGAAGGCCCTTCACTATCCCCGCTGCTTGGATTTTAGCCCTGGTGGAGGTTTCATGGCTGTAGGAAATGCTGCTGGAAAAGTGTTATTGTACAAGTTGCACCATTACCATCATGCATAGAACGAATGTTTGAGAGGACAAATATCTGATCAGTGTGTTCTTATCTTCCTCACATCATATCAGAAGAGTTTCAATCGTATTTTCCTCTGTTTTGAACGATGGTTTATAAATGCTATGATGGCTTTTCGCTGCAGAAAAATTCAGCAGTTTTTGACCTTTTTTAAGAGTTGTTGAAAGAATGTATTACACCATGTTTTAAGTGGAAATTATTAGTGTCATTTCTGTGCTGTTTCTTTCTCTTCATCTTCTAATGCTATCTTTTACCAATGGCGTTATTTACTTCTTATTATGGTATTTGTTGAAGAAAGTTGGTATCATTTACAACTCGCGTATCAAGAGGTGCACGGTTTGGAATCTGTAATTGTTTAAGCTGCAAGTCTACAACCTGTTACCAAATTAACTTAATTTAGGTTTAGTAGTTATAATTTGGATAGTTGTAGCCTTTAAGGCGTATGAATCAAAAAAATTCCTGTAAAAAAAAAAACTCATTTATTTAGTGATAAAAATCAGAAATCTATACACATTTATTTGAACATCGTGCTCTGTTATAGTGTATATATAATATGTTGTACAGAGAAGCTCAAGGAAAGCAAATACGCATTTATCCATCGATGTTAACGTCAAAAATATGTCGAAGTGGAGCCAGAGCATAGCTCATACAGCAACTCAACTGCAATTACTGAAGCAGAAACCTACTCTACCTAATTATAGTAAAAGGACTTTTGACGACCTGCTTTTGCTCAAGTTCCTCGCTGGCCTCGAGAGGAGACTTGCACCATCCATGCTCTCCAGAACCTCAACTCTTCTATGTCAGATGCTGCGTTTTCCAGCACCTGTTTCAAAAGGATTTTCATGTACAAACTTCAGGAGCCATGTCGTGCAGCAGATTGGTCAACCACGATCAAACACCAGCGGCAGCCTTAACATCAGAATCTGTCTTCCCCTGGAACAGGTTCATTGAAAAAGAAAAAATGATAAGTAATCCACACACTACTCAGTTCATAAGTAGCAAAGATGTAGGTGGACTGCAAGCCATACTAGTTAAAAGTTTTCTGTACTTCTTGTGCTGTAAGAGGTCAGGGAATCTCTTACAAACTTAAAAGGTCAGAGAGCTCGCTACACAACAAACCTGAGATGGTTTCCGAATCTTCCGAGTGGGAGTCCTCATTGTGACGAACTCTTCAGCGGCTGTCGGGTGAATACCAATTGTGGCATCTAAGTCTGCCTTTGTCAAGCCAGCTTTCACAACAACTGCAAATCCCTGGAATTTAACACAAGTACCACCATCTCAGTTCCAGAAATTAAAATCTTCATTTGAAAAGGCAAACAAATAAAGGGAAAAGACATTAACCTGCACAATTTCTGCGGAATCTTCCCCACACATGTGCAACCCCAGAACTTTGTTTGTCTTTGCACAGACTAAAAGTTTCATGAACACTCGATCTGGCAACCCTGAGAGAGTAGCCTTTAAAGGCCTGAAGTTTGACGTGTAGATATCAACATCACCATATTGTTCGATAGCCTGCAAAAGTAACTGCAACGTTCAGACAAGAAGCCATTTTCTATCTATTGCAGATATACAATATAATTTTTTTCTCACCTGTTCTTCAGTAAGACCAACTTGCCCAATTGGTGGCTGGGAAAACACAGCAGAAGGAACAGCTCTACTCAAAACAAGAAAGTAATCAGCAGAAACATAAAAACATAATTCACTCAATATTAAGTGAAAAATGCTAATTTGCTAAAAGATATACACTAGAAAGATCGTTTCACACTATTATGCATATTTTTGCAAATGTATCATGGATTGTATATAGCATCAGTACAGCACTCAACTGTTATGCATTCCTCACAAGTCACAACAAGAAAGGAAAAAAATTGCATGATGAGATATAGAATGATAAATCTAAAATTTGAAAGTAATCATACTCGTTACGTAATGCTCATCCTAAATCCTTTTATGAAGGGCCTACTCTGCTTGCATAGATATTTATGGAGCACCTCCAGAATTAATAACATCTCCAAGTCTTATCAGCTGGCTAACAAGCTAGCTAGGATACCTGTAATCAGGTTTCGTTGGCTCATTCAGAAAAAGTGTTTTGGATAATGCCCCTCCCTCCATCAAAGCAACTGGAGTCAGGTTCACTCTGTCTGTAACATCTCCTACAGCCCAGATTGAAGGAACTGATGTACGAGAAAATTCATCAACCTGAGAAACAAAACCATCTCAAAAGCATTCAGAACTCTGTATTAATTGCCCAGTTTTTTTTTTTG